AAAGACTTAAACAATCACAAAAGTTTTATTGAAAATTTTTATAAATTCATTATATGCTTTAATGAAGAGATAGTATTTTTTATAATAGAGAAGATGGCAAATAAAGATCCTTATGTATTTCAAACAGAACTCTATCTAACTACTGGTTTCTGCTAGATTGAATAATAAAAAGTCTGTTCCCTGATTCAACTGAAACATTTTTTTGAAACACAATAGAGCGGCTTAAGATAAATTTGATAAAACTCATTTAAAAAATCATCTAAAAAGATTATTCTAAATTAAATTAATATTTTAATTCGATTAAAAAACGTTAATACTTTAAAACATTTAAAGAATTTAAGTAATGTTAAGTGATTACAGACATAAATTAGCGAGCAGACGCCAACTCAAAAGCCATGTAAAAATTATTCCTCATTAACATCTCTCTTGTTCTTGGTTTCTCTTATTCGGACGTAATTAAAAAATTTATTTATGACTTTTTGTAGCTTATGGAAAAGCACATAAAAATCTCATTCAACATATCTTGCCTCATTTATTTTGTGGGTACTTCAGCACCCACGAAATACAGTCGGTAAAAAAAGTATTGGCACATCAATATAGTTTCAAATATTTACGCAACGAAAAGTTCTAACTTTACCAATTAAACTATATTACACTGAATTTTCAAATGAAAACTAAATCACAAAATATAAAATTCTTGTCATTGTTTACAAAATATTTACATAGAAAAAGCGCATTTTATTTTACAAAAAAAATATTGGCACACTCGAATTGCATTACTACCACTACAGATAAGAAGAATAAAACCTTATATTCACTTACTGAAACCGATTCATAATTTCATTTTCTTTTTCATTCCGATCTTAGACACGGACGAGAGAGGTTGCTCCTCGAAACCGGTTCTCTGCCTTCATGGATAACGAATTCATCGACGAGACTGCAGGTGTAGGACAGTCCGAGTGTCGCGGGGGCCAGTCCCCCGGACGGTCGGCCACCCCGCCTGCAGACTCTTTGCACCTCGCGTCTACCCGTTCACCCCAGCTCTTATCAGAGCTCTCCGACAGGGATACGGGAGACAAGGCTTCGTCACAGCCACGAGATGCGGGGCTACCTGGCACCCTTGCGGCACCGACAGGGACGGCTACGCCGGAACTGCACGGGCCGCCTGGGAGCCTTGTAGTACCCAACACGGTTAGGTGTGACAGCGAAATAAACATCACCACTGGATGCAAGATAGATAAACCGGAAACCATCACGGTCCTTAACCCTTATGACGAAAATCTAATGATACAGCTCCTACGAGAAAGCAGCGCTAGGATAAAACGATTTGTTGCACCCAAGATTGAAGACAAAGATATTCAAAATGCAATCTTAGTCCAAAATGGATATGTAGATAGACTCATATTAAAAATCAACAAACTAGGAGATGAAGTAGTCCGATTGAGACAAGAGGTTTTAGAGCTCAGGAAAGATAATAACTTAGACAATGATTGGATTAAACCCAAAAATAAACCTAATCATATCAAACATTACAAACCCCCCTTTCAGTGTAACAAAACTCCCACCTTAAATAAGCTAGATATCCCAGTCAATAATAGTTTCAGCCCCCTAAATGAGGAAATACTAGGAAATGATAGTAATGAAAATATGGATATGGAATTAACAAACCAAACAAATAACAATAAGGGTAAAAGGAAAGCTTCACCTGAAAAGGTTAGCCCTAGCGAAATCAAACGCATAGCCACTGACGACATGCACTCAAATCATGAGATTGAGAATAGCACGAGTGATGCAAATGATATTGAAATAGATGATAACAATATAAATGTCGATAACGATATAGAGCTAGATGAAGTCAACTTCACAGTCCCAAAGAAAACGACTAAAAACCCACCACTCATTATAAGAGATAAAAAATTCGATTATGAAACATTTGACGAAGAAATGAAAAAGATAGCAGCCACTGACTTTGAGTGTAAATACAACCATGACAGTTGGATTATAAAACCAAAAAGTATAGAGACTGCCAGAAAAATGAGAGGCTATGTTGAAAACAATGATATAGCTCACTACACATATCGTTTACCAAATGAGAGACATCTTAGAGTGGTAATGAAGCAAATAGCCCCAGATTTCAAAAAAGAATTCATCATTAAACATCTAACAGCCCAAAACTTCGAGGTCGTAGATGCAGTACAAATGACCAAAAAATATAGAGGTGAAGTAACTAAACTACCTATGTACTTAGTTACCATAAAGAAAATAGGTAACTATAAAGATATATTCAGCATTACTGAATTAGATAGGATGCATGTAAAAATAGAAAGTTATAAAAGTAGACCTGGCCCTGCGCAATGTCACAGGTGTCAGGGCTTCTACCACTCGGCTACAATGTGTCACCTCCCACCAAAATGTGTGAAATGCGGGAAGGATCATTTAACCTCCCAGTGCACTAAACCAAAAGACGAGAAACCAACCTGCTGCAACTGCGGCTTAGCCCATCCAGCTAACTATAGAGGCTGCGAAAAATTCCCAGCTACGAAAGGAAAACCCAGAAATAATAGACCGAGCGGCAAAATATATCAAAACAGAAGTTATGCTGATGCCCTAAAAAGACAA